TGGAGCCAGAGTTCTAAATCAGATAGTTTTGATCTATAGGTGTCTGACTCCAAATCTCGATTTCTCTTATTCACAGTGCTCTATTGCTCCTCAAGTATAATCATAGTTAAATTCATTTTTTTAAAAGAAAACCATGCGGGCTTCCCTGGTGGTGCAGTGTTTTAGAGTCTGCCTGCCGATGCAGGGGACACGGGTTCGTGCCCCGGTCCGGGAAGATCCCACATGCCGCGGAGCGGCTGGGCCCGTGAAACATGGCCGCTGAGCCTGCGCGTCCAGAGACTGTGCTCCGCAACGCGAGAGGCCACAGCAGTGAGGGGACCGCGTACCGCAAAATAAACAAACAAACAAAAACAACTATGCTGTATAGAATAAATAGGCAATGAATGTGTGTGTGAAAGAATAGATACAGATAATATCCATCAATCAGCTAAGGCTGGTCAAATTCACAAATTTGGATTGTGCCCATAAATGACCAATTCCTTTTCTCTTTAATCTAACTAATAAATGCTATTTCATTAGTAAATTATTAATATATGAAAAGTCTTTGGTATTTATTAAAGTGAGACCTAAAGCTTATGTAATATTCTTATTCCTGAATTTTCTGTGTTTCCTTTAAATTAATGTTAAAGTTTCATCTCTCCCTCTGGTTATTTATTATTAAGGCAGAGTAATTTGTAGTCTGTCATCATGTATAATTTCCTCTTGAACAGATGGGTAATAAGACAAGCAGATAAATAATGAACATTTCTAAATGGGAAAAGACCAGTTAAATCACCTGCTGTAAAGTACAATATAAATACCATCTTGTTAGGCTAGGATTCAAAGCCCAGTTTCTTTCAAACTGGTCTAGGGATAGGAAATTAAATGTGGCAAATTTAATTTATATTTTCTGGTGCCTTTAAGCCAGCAGGGAAACATGCAGTTTAAACTCTTGCTTAAGATTGTCTGTCTAAAGCTACTTCTGGTCTAAAAAAAGAAGAGGTCTATCACACCTTTGATGCTGTAGTTTACTATTAGGGAGAAGCAGATTTTGATTCTTAGAAAGACTTGTAATCTCCAGCTTGAAAGACATTTAATGATTTAATCCATGGTTTTAACAGTAATGCTGGAGTCACAGTAGGTATATATTATACTTGTACTCCGGGGAGCACAAATGCACAGCTTCTTTAGCAAAATATGCAATGCAACGTGGTTAATAAGGTGCATCTCTGCAGGTAACCACATGGTTCTAGGCCTTTTACAAGGCTGGCATGATAGTAAAACTCCACAGCATCACCATGTGATGTAGAACTTCACAGAATTCCTCCATGACAAGAATTATCAAAGCTATTTTTTATATGAAAAAAAGTTGGGAGTCATCAGGTGAGTACCTGGTCCACACTAGTATAGGGATCCAGGTCCTACTGGAATCAAAATGGAAACAGCATGAGTTTTAGACTTGAGTTCCTCTTGTGATTCTGCCAAGTACGGGACAGAGCTTTGTGGAAACTTAATGAAGGCTGGTAATTTGGGACTCCTTCAAAATCAAATTTAGAAAATATTTGGTTAGTATTTATTTAGAGATGGAGCAGTGAGTGAGAGCATGGCAGATTAGAAAGACTTTTGGGGAGGGGAACACAAAGAGAGTGCTTCTCTTTGCCACTTACCACAGTCCATAATCATCTTCATTATTTATTTGCTTGTGTTTTATGAACTGTCTCTCCACCCATGCACACACATATCAACACATTTGAATGTAAGATCGACCCTTGCCTGTTTCTGTCAGTATTGCATCCCCAGTGCCGAGAAACATGCCTAATAAATGGTAGGCACTCAGTGAGTATTTGCTCAATCAATTAATCAATCACATCAAGCTTATTCAGAAGATTAAATGAGATATTACGTTAGATGATTCTGACCTTTAAAAGGAATATAATAACATTTCTGAAACTTTTATAAGATTAAATGGCCATTTCTTTAAGAGAAAAGCATTTATATTAGTTTTATAATATAAAGTATAAATATTATAAATAGGGTACATGCTTAACCTACTTTTTTCTGAAAAAAAATTTGCAGAGAAGGTAAATTATTCAGGTCTCTCTTAGTATAAGTCTATTTTCCATTTAACTGTTTCAATAACTTATAACTCAAGAGTATAAAGCAAAGAACTTCACACGCTTACATGGACTGATTGTAACTAAATTTTGTGGAAAAGCCAAATGTGGAAATAGAGAGCCCTAAATATCAAAGCATTGCCCAAACTATACAGCCAGAAAGGGACAAGAAGACCTCAATCTTTCATAAACTGATTGCATGTCCCATTTCTTTCCACCTTTCATTCAGTTCAGCTTGAAAGACCACCACAGACACACGCTTTCCCTACCTGTGGTAAGGTACTTTCTGTGAGATGGTCAGTCCAATCCAAAGACTCTGCTAATTTACTCTTAGATAGGTTTCATACTTTTCAACTAATGCAATATCCAAAAGTATACAGTGCACTTATGATTATCATTAAGAGCTTAATACATTACGTATCTTATAGAATATGAAATATATAATTAAATAAATAACTCATTGAAAAATAAATACATGAGAAGGTGGGAAATAGTTCCCCAAATAGGATAACTATCAAGGAAATCTGTAATTACTTATCATGCCATTGTCCTGGTCTAATCTTCTCTAGGACTCGGTGCAAAAGAAAAAGTTTATAAAATCTTCTTCAGAGCAAAAATCAGCACACTACACTGAGAAAATGGCAAGCTTTGGGCCCAGACAGACTTCACCTTTTATCTTGGCTCCTCTGCTAACTTATTCTGGGACAGTTATTGACCACAACTCTAAAACAGAAAACTAATATGCACAATGCCGGCATGTTAAAGATTAAATGAAATAATGTTTGTAGGGTTTCTGAGTGGCACTCAATAAATGGTTGTTATGGTGATTGTTGATAGAATAGAAAATAAGTGTCAATTCTCCACAGTGAGGCAAAAAGCACCACAAAAAGTGAAATATATCAGGACAACCTAATCAAAAAATAAATGTGGAAAATAATCCACATTTGTTTGAACTGTCCAGGTTGACTGCTCCAAATTTCTGAGGGAAGAGGGGAGGAGGGAAGATAACTGAAAGTATTATTGAGTAGCTCTCAATATGTTTTTCCCACTGTGACACACATGATAAATTATGGTCATATGTGTAACTCATTCCTATGTGCAACTTCTGGCAATAAAAATAATTCCATTTGTTTCTATTCCACTCAAGATAGGCTATTGCAACACAAGTGACCATGACATTGCTATTGAGATAGACTGGAACCTGCTCTAGTGTACTTTAAAAATAAATGATTTGCAAATTATACATATTTTAGCTATCATTAATTACAAATTTCTTGGGATACATCTCATAACTGATCAAGATTCATCCTTATCATTTCATAAATGAGTAGACTGAGGCTCAGAGGGATTAAATGGCTGGCTCAGAGTCAAACAGCAAATCTGTAGCAAAGCAAGAAAAAAATCCAGACTTCTTTCAACACACATTGTATCAGGATCTTAATGCTCTAAAGGGCCTTCTGTTTCACAATGGCTCTCAAGGTACCATATTTTAGCTGCACAGTTAAAACTTAAGAATTTCATGATGACTATTCTTTTTTTGATGTGTCTAAATTTCTTTTTTCCATTTCCTAGAATAGTAGACATTTGGAAAATGTCTTCTGTTTAATTTTATTCAACACATATTCATTAGGGCCAAGCAAGTTCTAGGTCTAGGGATCCGGGAAAGAGCAAACCAAAATCTCTGCCTTCATGTTTATTGGAAGAAATGAACACAAAATGAAATGAAATGACTGTATTTTTAATTTATTTTATTTATTATTTATTTAATAATTTATTTTTAAATTTAATTAAATTTAATTGAGATATAGTAATATAGCATTTTAGATAGTGATAAGTGTTGAGGAGGAAAATAAGGCAAGAAAGGGATGGCACAGGAATATGTGTGAGGAAGTTCCATTAATGAGCTGATGTATTTTAATTCATTGCCATTTGATAATGAGGGACAGAGGACTGAGGGATAGTCACTCCTAAAACGTGCCCAATCTTGTCAGTGAAATATCCATCAGCTGTGTTATCTCCCTATGGAGCCTCTATTTTAATTAGGCAACGCAACATTTAGCCAGCAGGAAAATCTGCCCTGCTATCTGGAGGGGCATGGAAGAAAATCAGATCCTAGTCAAAACTATTACAAACCAGAATATGGCAAGATTATGCTCAAAATTATTTTAAATGTTATCCCCTTTTCCTTATATTCTTTATTATCTTAGAAATGACATACTATCATATTTACAATGCTTAAAAATTTTTATTTGCCTTATTCGAAGCCTACAGCCCTATACTAAATAGGTTTTTGATTGAGTACATTCTCCTGCCTTCTCTGTACACTATGAATATTGTACAAAATGAAGGCACAATATGATATTCATATAGCGAGTTCCTGGATGATTATTGCTTATTCTACTTCAGAGTTTTGAAAATGATACTTTAAGATTTCTTCACTGTTTTTAGACATTGTTCATTTTGATTACTGTCTAACATCCAAGTGAATATATATTTTCTGTTTTTTTGATGTTTGTATATGAGTTTTTTAACTGAAATATAGTTAATTTATAATATTTAAAGTACCTACATTCAATGTCATGTTCATTGCCGAACTAAAATCTCTGCCTTCCCAATGATGATTCAGTGTCATTGTGCACTATACTGACTTCCATGTGTAGAAGAAAAAACAAGGTCAAAAAAATATTTTGGTCTAATGCAGGAAGGGAGAATGGGGTCTCCAGTGCTGTGATTGGTTAGTGCTAGCAAATCTTCACAGTGAGCAAAGAGGACATGAAAATGTCTTTATTTGTTTGTTTTCTTGTTTTTAATCTTTCCAATAGTTCAGAAACTGAGAAAGGCATCTGATTAGCTTATGAGACATTTATCTAGGACAGCATTCCCCATCTAATGAGATTGAGCACTTACTTTCAATTGCCTTGATTTTATTTTCCCAGGGGACACAAGCAGCTTTGAAGTTCTCAAAATCACGGAGAAATTTTACCCATTTCTGAAAAGAAAGCCAAGTACAACAGTAAAACCCAACTGCTTGTTTGTTAAGATGTTTATCTCCCACACTCATCCCAAAATATCTCATGACAATGAGCTTGGAAAGATCTCTCTGGCATCACATATTGCTTTTTGTAAAAAGGGGAGATGCTAGTTTCACTTGCCTCCCTGTTCCCCACCTACCCCTGGACCAATTTAATTAAAAAATGTTTACTGACTCTCTGTTTTACAGAAAATATGCTGACCACTGAGAAATATCTGTTTATTCTACCACACAATAAGAGAACAGGGACTGAGTTAGCACCTAATAAGGTGATCAGCAAATGGTGTGTGTTTAATTAAATATTCATTGCATGAAGAAATTAAAGAAATATAAATAAGACATAGTTCCTGCCTTGAAGGGCTTCTGGATCAAGTACACTGTACATAAACAGGTAATTTCTATACAGGATGGTAAGTGCTATGACTTTTCATTCTGGTAGAGGTAGAATCATAAATTAGTTTTTATAAAAGATCTTCCTTCCATTTTACCCAACAATGTTGGGTTACCCATGATCAAGAGGACCACTAAGAAGAAGAATGAGAATGGGGCAGATAACTTTGCACATGTACAGATTATGCTGAGATAATGGGTGAGCTAGACAGACATGGGGAGCCTAAATAAGATTTGAGACAAGCCTGGAGTTTGAAAGATTACCTAGACCAGAAACAACCCAAATATTCATCTATAACAGAATGGATAAATAAATTACAGCATCTTCATACGATGGGATACAACACATAAATAAAAATGAACTATAACTCCCATGACATGAACATATCTCATGAAAATAACATTGCATCAAAGAAGCCAGAAACAAAAGCATAAATGCTATATGATTCCATTTATTTAAATTGTAAAAACAGACAAAACTAATCTATGATATATATGATGTATAAATATATATTACAGATCTATCTAAATATTTCATATTTAAGATATATGAACTTCAGTCACAAAACTCCCATCTTTATGGGAATATATTTAGCCTCAGGTGGTATAACATTTGTAAAGAGGAGATAATAATACCTACATACCTACTTTGCTGTGAGAATTAAATATGGAAAGATTTTTATATAAAGATTTAATTTTTATAGAAGGATTTAATTCAGTGCTTGGCACATAGTAAGTGCTAAATAAATGTTAAGTTTCTTTTCTATCTTTTCCAAAGATCTATATTTATATTGGCATATCACTTGTTTTTTCTTATTTTCTATCCAATCTACAGTTGATGTTCATGGTAGAGAACAGCTATATGGCCATGTAACTTGTACACATTTTGAGAAAGAAACCTTGACCCAGAATCCCTTAACTCCCAGGGAATGAAAATGAAAGGGGCTCAACCTTTTACATTTGGAAGTGATAAAAGCACACAGGTCAGTCTTTTGCCATGAATCAATGTTTATCGACTTATTTTCATTTTAACTCTTTTAAAGAGCCTTTTAGGACAATTTTTTTTCTGAATCATCCCTTTCTCCAGATTTCAGTAACGCAGAATACTCTTTGTCTACTGTATATGTACCTATATGTAGACATAACGTATAACATATTTTTCACTCAGAACAGAACCAATTTTACCACCACTCGGGGGCAACATGGCTTCCACTGAGCATAAATGGCACCAAGCAAATTGAGCTAAGAAAATACTTACCTTGCCCATCATCATCTTAAATGCAAACCACCGTTTTCCTTTTCCTTTCCCAAGAGCCCCTTCATTTTCACTCACAAATTTTTTTGCTTCCCTGAGGAAATAAAACAAAATAAGGGGTGGGTGGTGGTGGGTTGAGATTAATACAGCATAAAGGTAGTGGATATTTAATTTTATTAGGTCTACTGCCTGATTTCTTCTAGACACTTTCAAACCCTTAACAAGTGAATGTAAGCTGAATTTCCTAACCTTGGGACTTGTAATGGATGTTTAAGTTTTTTAATTCTGGTCAGAAAGAATGAGATATTTCAGTCTCACTGGAGTCATCAAAAAGCAAGGAATTTATGCTAAGTGTCAAAATAGAGAACCCTAGTTCTTCTCATTTCTACCACATATAAAATTGAATCTGAAGTTTACTTCAGATTCTGGCAGTCGGAATGTTTATTTTAAAATACTTTCTTTCCTTCTTTTTTAAGGATTGCTTTTTTAAAAAAAATAGGGCAGGAAGTTTAGGACAAACTGACATAGAACACACTTATTGATCTGGTATTTAATCTCATAAAAGCGATTATGACTTAAAACAGAAAAACCATACTCCGTAAAGCAAATGGGGTTGAGGGAAGAGAGAAAAGGAAAGGAATACTTTTTGGCCTCACATTCTGAAAGGGCTTCAAATTTAAACTTTAACGCCATTCCCAAATATTTGTACATTTACAGTAGTCACATTAGTGTCTTTGTGTTTGTGGTAAAAAAGCATTAAGTCATCAGAATGGATAAAGTGAACATGTTAAATATACAACTTTTGTAAACTTTTTAGTCATTTTTGCTATTGTTGTTTGTTTGAGATATGGAAAGAATTTTTAAAATAGAGGCAGTCCAGGCTTGCCTTGACCTCTCCAGGGCCATAAAATGCATAACCCAAGAGAACCAAGGGATAATCCAAACCTGGACATTGGTTCTACAGGTACAAAGCTGTCGTCAGTCGGGTGGCCCCTGGAATATGTGGTTTTACAGACAAGCCCCTTCAACACATGACTATAAATAAACAACACACAAAGTACTCTTGAAAAAGTGAAAAATGAAACTTCATCCTTAAGTTGGTGAAGGATTTTCTGTGTTCCTTAGTATCAATGCTAAACTCATGATTTTACAGTACCCAGTGATGAAAACACCACGTCTGCTAACCTAGCTGATAACTAGAAAATGGTGCCCCATTACTCACCTGTGCATGTGCACCCACCCATGACCTGCCATAAAAACACAAGCACAACAGAGAAGATTCTCTTCAGTCATCAAACAGACTTCCCACATCATTTCCTTAATGGCAGGGACAATATCTTGTCCTTTTTGTATCTCTCACAGCACTGTTCACTACTTTGACCATAGGAGGTGTTTAGCAAACTGAAACCTTCTTGAAATAGACCTAAATGGCATAATTTGGATAGACAGAGACAAGGGAGTATCTAATAATTGTATTTTCCACATCAATTAATGCTTGAAGGAAAAATCATTCCTAGACTTTGGGATTGCACCCTTCCCTTTGGTCTTCTCAGAAACCTACTAGGACAGCTTTCTAGAAATGAAGAAGATTTATTAGGCTGGCCTTGTCAAACACCCTGACATTTGACATGACTTCTGGGCTGTGAAGATTAATTGAAAAACAGTTTCTAGAACATTCTACACATTTAAAAATGTTCAATAAAGCCCCATCAACAAGTATAAACTGAGCTCTCATGGCTGGGTTTTTAGATCCATGCAATCAAAAAACCGTTATCACAGTTACGCTTTAACTATGTATTATAGAGATGATAAGACAGGAGTGAGTGTGGTACTTAGCAGACACTTTATAAAATGTTGAACTGATCTAAGCGGAAAATCAAGTAACCTGAGTTCTAACCCAGACTCTGTGATTTGTCTCTATAACTTTGCCCATGTTTTTGTCACTCTCTGTACTCACGTTAAGGAGCATCCCACTTCTCAGAGGAAAGACTGCTTGCTCAGGACTCGCACACACCTGAGCAAGCTCTGGCACACTTTCCTTCAGTTACTGTGTAGCTTTTAACAGGTCAGGATTCTCAAACAAACAAACAAAAATTGGGCAATTGCTTCCCTGCTTGCTGGGGTGGTGGCGAGAATAAGATGAGACTATAGATGTGAATGTGTTGAAGGAATTATTACACTGCCAATTCCACTGTAACACTTGTTTTGAAACCAAGAATCTGTTCTAACATGATTGTTTTATATTACGGAACAATTTGAACATAACACAAATTTTGTGTTTGCTTACATGTGATTTTATCTACAAGAAACACTGGGTGAATACAAGAAAAAAACACATCCATCTAAACCTAGCAGTATATATACAAAATGCACACACCTCATCAACCAGCTACTTCATGGCACCCCATGTGTTAGAAAAGTCACATCCATTCAGAGCTGGTGTTACAATGACCCTCCTTCCATGCTTCACAATAATTCACAAACTGCAATCTTGTCATTTCCACAAGCAAACTTCAGGTCTTTTTTAAGGTAAACTGCCATATTTATTGCAGTGTTTATGTATTTCTCAGCCATTAAATATGTGTAAAATGTTGCTACCGTTTTCTTAAATTTCTATCTTTTTTTAATGTGTCACTGATAATGTTTCTGAATATTGTGCCCCATCCCCATTTTTCCTGCAAGCCCTGTAGTTTTCATTACCCAATTTTTCATAGTGTAGAGATTTTTAGGAACCTATACATCATGTTATAGCAATTATTTGGCATCAAGAATTTTGAAGTTCATAAAACCAAGTATACACAGGAATTATCACATCATTCTCTATTATAATAAACATATATAAATGGAGGACCAAAAATTCTTCTTAGTAGTAAAATCAAAATTTGTTTTTCACATGTAACAAGGTGACTATTTTATGGGGATATCCACTGCTCCTGATGATTAGTAGATAATTAAAGAACATCAGTTTGGCCTATTAGAATTAGATCACTTTCTAGCTGAGTGGCCAATTAGAAAACATGACGGCTCTAAGCAGACAGGAGCGTAAAGACATAGCTATTCTACTCCATATTTCTGACAAGATTTTAAATTTTGTGAGCTGATAATTATGTTACAGGAACATTAAACTAGCAAGATTCAAGAGAGAGAGGGAAGTCAGGGTTATAACCAAATTTAAGTCACCACAAAATTAATTATAAATTCATTTAACAAATATAGAAACTTATTTTCATGGCATTCATAAGATTTCTTATCAGTTATTATAGATATATTTTCCTTTGGACAATCTAAACAAGTTTTTATTTTTTGTCTCTTAAATTGCCAATTTATCCCTGATACTAAGCATAGTTTCATACTTCTCTTCCAATTACTACCCTACCCCACCCTCAACACACATATCCTGAAGGTTTTCAAATGAAAGTCTGGACTTCACTCTACTCCACATGGTCACAAGTGCCCGAATGTCCTAACCCCTCCTCCATCCTTCAAGAGATCTTCCCCAAGTTTCATACCTAAGGGCTCCCTGACCAGCCATTCTAGAGCCTCCTGTTCCCCACTTCCCACCCTGGCCAAAATAACTACTAGACTCAACTCATCAGAAATCTAGGGGATGACTTTAAAACAAAGCCAGGGGTATGGGGTGGGCAGAGAATTGTTAAGCAAGAACAGATTCTTGATCCCCCTAATCTGATGCTCTTGGGATGTAAGAAAGCACTCTTGCACCTTTCCGGCCTAGAAGAGGGGATATTGGGGTGCAAGAGCTCAGTGAAAGAACACACCTTAACACTATTTTGGGGGCTGACCTTTACAATGAGCTGGCATGATTTCAGGATGGAAGAAAACTAGTATCACCCAATCCCATCCTCCCTGATAACACATTTCTTAACCAGAAGACAACATCTTTCATTGTGCTGTTAGAAACAAGATACAAAAAGAAACTAGTCAATATGGAGATAAACACTGACGGATACTTATCACACTAAAGTACCCATAACAGATGTCAGAATGCAAAAAAACAAAGAGCAGAGTCTTTGAAAACTAAAAAGCAACACATTTTCTTTATATTTTTCCTGTAGTGAGTCCATTTTCCTACCCATTTGTATTGATCTGGATAATTTAAAGGGATTTATCTACATGGCTAAAATGAAATAGGCTCTTGTGGATAAAGTTTGACTAGCTGGTGGCCTCAAACCATCCAAATATCTGACTGAAAAATGTGTGTCATCCCCTTGAATTGCATTCAACAAAAGCTGCCTGCCAAGACTGTAATCCAGTCTCCAGGTCTCAGAGCTCAAAGCCCTGGTACAATATGCACAGCTCTCTGAGCTGTAACCCCAGACCCAGGGATAAATAATTGAGCAAGGTCTATTTAATGACAATAATACCTGGCCTCATAATTTATTTATCAACCCCTTGTGCTGGTAATTAGAATAATAAGGTTTCATGGGCTTTCAAGAATGCTTTCACAGTTAGTTGAAGGAGCACGCTTTGGCCTAACTTACAAAAAAGATAATTTACCTATAACACATGATACAACACTGATGACACAAGGGATTTAGGACATGCTATGCTGCCTCTGACACATTCTCATCCCAGGAAACATGTTCTCATTTGGGTTAGGTTAAGTTGACTTTTCTTTCCTCTTGTTCTCAGTTTGATAGTATCATTGAGCAACCAACTTATTGCTCAAGTAAACAAAAGACTTTTCAAAACTGGTCTTTAAGGCAACTGTAATCAAAACTTGTGCTCATGAACATTACTTCCCAGTAAAGGGATCAGAAGAATGAAAGGTCTTTTCCTAATAAACAATGCCATTAAAAAAAAAAAAGTTGACCAATTTAAATTGACTAAAAGTCAGAACTCCGACTTTTCCTAAAATATTACTGAGTAATTGAAAGAAAGTTGAGGAGGTAAGAAGACAGTCTAATATACAGAGATTGAAAATAAGGATTATAGGCCTTTCTAGATAATATAACTCCATAATTAGGCTGGCAGAATTATTTTAAGTCATCCTAATACTGGAACTGAGAATTCAAAGCATGTGCTTTTATAACGGGGATGCTGGTGGCAGCAGTTATAATGGTTAAGATGCTCAGT